TCTGCGGGAGGCGTGGGTGCGGTCCTGCCCAGCAGCGTCGTTGGTCGCTTTCCCAGCGAGCCGTGGTCGGGACATCAGCCCGGATCGCACAGGCTGAGCGGCAGCTAGACGTTCAGCCCAGAGTCACACCCCAAGCTTGCTTTCTGGCGCCACTCTCTCCCCCTGAATGCGGTCTCATAGCGCACCTGGTGGGGACCGCGTCGTCTGAGGAGGCAGCCTCTCGGCACCCGGCACGGCTGGGGTGGGCACCGGGGCGTTCTTTCCAGCCTTGCCGGGCGCTCGCCGTGTGGCCCAGAGAGAGTCTTCTGCCATCTGTTGGGTAAAGTGAGAGACTCGATGAGCTGAAAGGCCGCAGGCCGGGCCCGTGGGCCCAGCTGCAGGGGAGCCGCGTGCCGGCCCAGCCTCGGGTGCGGCGCTGGAGCCTGGAGGACGAGCAGAGGGCAGTGCTGCCCGGGACCTCACCCTCGCGGACAGGGCCGGGCTTCCGAGCAGCAGAGCAGGCTGCCCTGGCTGTGGGCAGGCGGGCGGTTTGCGGAGGAACGGTGGACCCTGCGAGACAGGCCAGAGGCCCCTTGCAGTGCGGGCAGGAGGTGGCAGTGTGGGCGGAGGGGAGGGGAGGGCACACGTTTCATCCACATGGGATAGGAGGGCGGACTGCGCGCGGCGTCTGACGTGGGACCGGCTTCCGCTGCGGTCAGGGACAGCACAGAGGGCTGGCTCTGGGGGGCCGGTCCTGCTTTTGGGGGCCGCACTCCCTGCCTTTGGGGGCCGCACTCGTTTAGGACCAGGCGCTGCACTGGGCGCGCCCCCTCCCCCCTCCCCCCCTTCCCAGCGCGTCCTGTGCTGCCCTCCCCTCCTGCCGCACTCACCCCCTCTGCCCCGGCCGTGTGGTCGGGTGTGCGTGAAGCTGCGTGCTCTAGAGGAGCCCTCACCCATGTCTGTGTGTCTGTCCCTCGTCGTGTGGGCCGGGGGCTTTGCTGGCTGCTTCCGGCAGCCCCCTGGTGGGGAGCTCTGCCCGTCCCGCGCGGCTCCTGTTTGCCCTCGCGAGTGCCTGCGGTGCGGCTGCGCCTGCACAGGCGCTGAGGGCCTCGTCTGCTGCTCCCGTGGCGCCGTCTGTCTCCGTGTTCGGGCGGGAGCCTGGGAGGGTGAGGGGCGGAAGAGGGACAGGCTGCGACCGAGGCCCGGAGGAGCTGCTTAGGGGCCTGGTGCCCGGACTAGGGCAGGTGTCTGACGGGGTCCTCGGTCTGTCCCCTCAGCTCTGCTCATGGGACGTGGGGAGTGGGGTGGGGACCTCCTTCTCGGGGCAGGCGGGCGCTCCCCCCACTGTGGCCTTGGGGGCTGCAGCGTGTCAGTGTGGCCGTGGACACGGCGAGTGTGAAGTGCCTGGGGACAGACACCCACCCCGGGAAGGTGTGGGTCAGGCGCCCTGCCACGGAGGTTGGCGTCCCAGACCGACTGCAGGTTGCTGTGTGCTCCCAGTGGTAGGGGTGAGGCGAGTGGGGGGCAAGGTGTAAGGGAAGGCCAGGGCGGGGCCCCAGGCTCCCTAACACGAGGGAGCTGCGACCTCTTTTCCAGTGCTAATGCTGACATCTCAAACGCCTGAAGTGCGTTTGGAGCACAGGAGTGTTAAAGAGCAGAGGCACATCCAAATCAGCAGCGACGTTAATGCGTCAGTCAATCCTGGTCACCAAAGAGTTATCTACGCAGTAGGTCTTCACCTTAAACACCCCCACCCCCCATGTCTGCATTGCTCCTTGGCCTGGGCCCTGGGGTAGAGACGGCTGGGAAAAACGTGTCAGCATTAACGTTGCTCTTCTTGGGAGACGTGTCAACATTTTGGAAGGAGGCTTGGTTTAGAAATACGCACTATTTCACGGGTGTCGGGTGCGCATGTGTGCTTCGCAGTGTGCTTCGCAGCAGCCTCTCGCTCTATCCGAAAACGGGACGGAGGGGAGGGGTCCCCTCCTTGGAGAGCTGGCTCCGTCCTCGGGCTCGCTGGTCTGGCATCAAGAAGCGCTGGCTCTGGCTCGGGACGCCGTCTGCCCTCCGTGTGGGCAGTCGCGTCCGGCTGCTGGCTCTCCGGACCACGCCTGCGGGCGGTCCCACCCTGCGCCTGCGCTTGCACCTGCTCCCGGGCGTCTCGTTCAGAAACGGCCCCGTGTCGTTTGGGTGTTTGACTGTCACTTCACACGTGCAGTGCCCAGAGCCGACCTGTGGTTCTTGCCGCTGCCCCGGCCTGCCCCCGTGCCCGGCGTCTCTGTGGTCGGCACGCCCAGGGCCGGGTGGCCGGGCCCGTCCTCCTCGGGTCCGTCGGCAAGCCCTGTGGCTCTGCCTTGGACACCCCTGAGTCTGCCCGCTCGCCCCTCCGTGCCCCCCACCTGCGCCTGGGACTGCCTGGAGCCGTCTCAGGTGCATTGTCACCTCGCCGGGGGTTCTTCCGAAGGGGAGGACGGGGCCATGCCGTCCCTTCCAAGACACGTCCCAGCCTCGGCCTCCCTCCTGCCCGCGGCTCCCGGGCCCCCAGCGCCTCCTCCCGGATGCCCAGTCGGCTGCTTGTCCGTCCTTCGAGTTGCCCTCGTCGCCCGATGTCCTCCCGCGGCCCCACTGTCCACCTTGGCAACTTTCTTTTCTTCCTGGAGGGGACCGGCTGCCCCTGGACGTGAGCTGGTCATGCCTGTGTGTGTGTGCCTGCTGTCCCTCGAGCCAGCAGGGCCTCCCTGGGACTCGTCACTGCATGCTGCTGCCTGGCCTCGCAGCAGGCCTGGCATCTGGCGGCTTCCGACACCTGTGGGGGGTCCCTCCCACTCGGAGCCTTCCACGCACCCAGTCCAACTCACCCTTGACCGCTGGGTCCCCAGCGGTCTTGTCAGCTCTCCCATCACGGAGACCACACGGCCACCTCGCTCCTCAGGTGCAGACGGCTTCTCCCTGTTCTCGTGCCCTTCCTTTGTCTCATCTCGTCTCTCCTCTGCACACAGTCCTGTTGGAACGGGAGACCAGGCCACTCCTGGCTCCCGGCACCTCCCCCTCCTCTGGCCTCCTGCCCCCGGGGCCTTTGTGCTTGCTCTCTGGAGCGCCCCTCCTGCAGCCCAGTGCGGCTTCCTGTGTCCAGGTGTCTGTCTCCTGGAGGGCCCCTCCCTGGCCACCCTGAAGGGCCCCAGCCCCGACCCCAGCACCCTGTCCCGCTCTGCGTTTGTTTCCGTCGTTGCCGTGGTCTGATGCGCTGCATGGTCTGCTTCCCTGTCTTGCTCATGGTCATAGTCTTCGACAGGGACGGGGTGCCCAGGACAGGGCTCTGCCTGGGGCTGGGGGTACTGGCCGACGGACGGACAGACGCCAGGCGGCTCGGCTGGCCCTTACAATTTCTGGCTCGGGGGCCTTTACAGCCTTGGGGGGCAGCCTCTCCTCCGCTGGGCGAACAGGCGGCCTGGGAAGGGACGGAGGCCTGGCTGCCCTGCGGGTGGTGCGGGCTGCGTTCCTGGACCAGGGATAGGAGGTGGCTTTGCTGAGGGTGAAGTCAGCACGCTGTCTGACACGGTCGTAATTCAGACTTCCCTGGTCTGTCAGGACAGAGAACACGGCGACTTCCGTGGTGCTCCGCGGTGTGCGGGGCGTCCGGAGCCTTCTGGACGTCACCAGGAGGGAGGGCTCGGTTCTCTCCCCTGGCACCGCAGACATGCATTCGGGTGCCTGCTGGGCTGGGTTTGGCTGAACCCTGGGAACCCTGTGGGCGTGCCGCGGGTGGGCGTGCCGCGGGCAGCCAGTGTTGATCCCTAGCTGATTGAAGCGGGTGAAAAACCTGTGTGCGAGTCCCCCTTGGGTGCCAGCGCTGCTGTCATTTGTTGGTTTGTTCTCTCGGGCCGTGCTGGCCCTGGAGTGGGGCCAGCGGGGCGGCCGGGCTCCGGCGTGTCGGTGCCCACCTGGGGTCTCACAAGCACGGCACGCCCAGTGACCTCGGGTGTGCGTGAGCCTTGGCGCGTGAAGACAGGGAGGAGCCGAGGGAGAGCCCGGCGGGCCTGGGTGGTTGGGTGGGCGTTGGAGGGACCTGGGCGGGGCGGGGGGGCTGGAGACCTGAAATCTTGGACTTCCAGCCAGAGGAGCCCCGGGCCACCTCCCACGTGGGCACCTCACGTGGCCAGAGAGAGGTCTGCGCCCCGGGGTCCCGTCACCTCAGTCCCGCCTGTGCTGTGGCTCAGACCCTTGGCAGAGCCTCCCGGTCCCTGGAAGGTGCCTCTCTCAGACCTCCCCTCTTCAGGACGTGTGGGACGGCTCCCCTCAGGGGCAGACCTTGGCCTCTGGTTGCTGTCCTTGGGACGGCAAGCCTGCTTTTCACCCTGGAGCCTGTCGAGTGTTTTTGAGGCTGATCTCACGTTCCCATTAGGGTGGTTGACAGTCTTCTGGAGAGGAGTGAGGGTAATAATCTTGCCTCTTCCTCCTGCCCTGGAGGCTCCCGCCCTCGCCCTGTAGTTTAAGACCTTCCTGAAAAACGGACATTGCCGCGGAGTGGCTGGGGAGGAGTCAGCGTGACTGCTGCGAGCCGGGAGGGAGGCTGGGCCTCGGGTGAGTGGCCGCCAGCAGCTCCTGCTGTGCAGCTTGCACAGCCCCCCTTGAGGGGGGGACCACCTGGCGCCCGAGCACATGTGCAGACACACCTGGGAGGTAGCTTTCAGCTTGGTCGATGGCAAAGCATTCTGGGGCTTTCTTGGTCTGAACATTGCGACTGACACTTCCCAGCCGCAGGAGTGAATACAGAAGTCTGGGCGAAGGGGCAGTTTCAGACTCCTGCTGAGGCGCCCTTTGTGGCATTACTGTTTTACTCAGAGCATGGAGAGTTTCTGGACAGTGCGTCCAGTTTCATTCAACAGTTGCCCCACTTGCTGTTTCTTTCTATAAATACACACGCACATTGTGATTTCAGAACTACATACAATGTTTTAATGACTTTGCTTTTGTAGATCGTGTTTTGAAAATAGAAACTTTATCTTTTTATTTCATTCCAGACTCCTTTTAACTTCGGCGTGAACCACAGAGCCCCAGCCTACCCTGCCGGGGACTACTGCCTGCTGTGCCGGAGCGAGCGGACAGACTCCTCCTTCCCGGAGGGCGGGGCGAAGGCTGCGAACAAACCGGCCCTTCCCGCGGCGCCCAAGGGCCACAACGTGCTGCACCTGCCGCTCTGGGTGTGCCCGGACTGCCGGCGGACCGTGGAGCAGGAGGAGAGGCGCAGCAGCCTGGACCAGCCGGCGGTGAGTGCCCTGCCGAGCTCGCGCGCTGCCCGGCTGCCCGAGCCCGTGGGCTGTGGGGCCTGCTGGGCAGTGAGGTGGTCGACCTGGGCCTGCCTTCCGGGGAGAACCTCCCCCTGTGCCTTCTCCGGGCCCCTGCCCCACTCTCCGCGGCCGGGCCTCTCTCCTCGTCCTCCCCGCTCCGCCGGCGGGAGGGCGCAGGCCCTGGGGCCTCCAGCCCGCCGGCCACACGTGGCCCGGGATGGCTGTGCACGCGACCCAACACAAACCTGAGTTTACTGAAAACAGTGCAAGGTGTTTTCTTGTGGTTACGTGTCACAGTGCATCTGGTGTGTGGCCCCGAGACGCCAGAAGGCTGGACGCCCCTGCCCGGGGGACCCGCCCTCCAAGGTTGGACCCCTCGGGCAGCGAGCTTGGGGGCCGGAGGCTGTGCTTTTCAGTCCGGTCTCGGGAGTTCTGTGGCGAACAGCTTTTTAAAAAGCTGCACTGGCTTCTCAGGTGTTTAGTTTTAGACAATTCTACGTTCTGGTAACCCGTCTGGAATTCTTTCCCAGGTGCAGCTCCCAAGCCCGGGTTTTGCCCTTCCACCTTGATTTCCTGTCTCAGCTGAGTGGGGGCTTTCTTGAGGCTCAGGCTGGTGTGGAAGGCCACACCCTCACTCCCAGTTTTGGCCCAGACTGTGGCCCTGTGGGCCCGGGCTCCGAGGGCGTTCAGGTCTGCTCTGCGGGCTCTGGTGGGCACTGGTCTTGTGGCCACCGCAGGCCCCGCAGGCCAGGGCTCCTCATTCCCAGCGCCTGGCCGGCCTCCTCCCGGCCCGGGGCCCCTCCCCCGCCAGGGCCCTTTCCCCGCCAGGGCCCCAGCGGCTCGGCCAGTGTTTCGCTGCTGCCCAGCGTGAGTCTGCCGGGCGCTGGGCCAGCGACTTCTGTTTTGGGGGTTCCTTGAAAGCAGCACCCCCACTCTATAGTAGTGCTGTGTGGCTGGACCTCAAAACTGAAGGGGACCCTCCCGGCCCCCTCCCCCACGTGGCCACACCCTGCTCCCCCGGCCCCCCTCTGACTGCTGCTTCCACTGCACAGGCGGGGCGGGGCTCCTGAGGGTGGTGCTTGACCGGGCTGAGCGCGCCTGTTTCGGGGCGCAGTGTCCCCGTCAGTCAGTGAGGACGCAGGGGAAGGGAAGGGCTGGGGCCTGGGCGGGCAGCCCTCGGCTGGGAAGGTGGGGGCGCACGCACTTCAGTGCTCCAGCCTCCGATCTCTGTGCTCTCACCATTTTACGTCTGTTTTCCTTTCTGTGCGCACTTAGTGTTCAGCTTGTGCCCCGTCTTTTTTTTCTTGTTTTTTCAATCCTCACCTGAGGATATGTTTTTATTGACTTTAGAGAACGAGAGGAGGTGGGGGAGAGAGAGACAGGATGTGAGAGAGAAACATTGCCCGGACCTGTGGACTGAACCCACAGTTCAGGGGTGTGCCCTGACCGGGAAGTGACTCTGCTGCTCTGGTGTTTGAGACGGCGCTCCCCCACCCCCCACCCCCGACCGCGCCGCTGGGGTTTTCCCGGTTTCTAGTGGGAGGCTGTTGAGGATCTCGGACCCTCGTTCGTTCCCCTGGCCACGTTTTAAGGTGCGGCTCTTGAGTCTGCTGCCTTGCTGACCGGTCTCCTTGCTCCTGAAACCGCGCCCCCTTCCTTCCTGCTCCCGGCCCACTCCCGGGTCAGCCGCACTGCACCCGGGGACACGGGCTGCCGTTCTCGCCCCGGTGCAGGGGCAGCTGGAGTGCCTGCGGTCTCTGGGATCATCCGCCTCGCCGCCCGGGGAGTCTCGCCACCCGGGGAGTCTCGCTTCCTGCTGCCAGCCTGCCCTGCGTGCTGGGTTCCCAGGGGGCACTGGCTGCTCGTCAGCAGCAGGGGCCGCGGGGCCGCAGCAGCCTCCGGCTGACCCGTGCGTGCGGGCTTCGGCCCCTCCCAGTGCTCTCGTGAAGCCGGTCTCTCTGTTCAAGCTTGTTCGGATCGCCGGCCTCTCTGTTATTACTATTTTTAAAATTTCTTTAAACATTTAAAAAAAGGTTTTGTTTGCAGAGTGGTGTGGGGGAGGGAAGGAGAAAGGGAGAGAAACATCAACGTGTAGTTGTCTCTCGTGCCCCCACAGGGGACCCGGCCCCCAGGCACATTCCCTGACTGGGAATTGAACTGGCGACCTTTTGGCTTGTGGGACGACACCCAGCCCACTGAGCCGCACCAGTCAGGGCTGACGTGTGGCAAAATGCACCCTTTGGAAGCACACACAGCTCGGTGAGTTTGGACAGACTCACACAGCCATGTAGCCAGCACGCCCGCACAGCCTCGCGGGCACGTGGGCGGGCAGTGCGCTCTCCCCGTCCCCGCTGACCAGGTCCGGCCAGGTCTCTCTTGGCGCAGAGCATCGCAGGCCCGTGGCCTGGGGGTGTGCTCTGTGCTGGTGAGCACCCAGCGGGGCTGCTCCCTCGCTCGTTCCACGGTGGCGGGGGTGGGGCTGTCCGGGGCTGGCGCCCTGGCTAGTTCACCGCGCCCCAGGGGGGCAGGAGCCCTTCCTTCTGTCGTCCCCCCCCACCCCGCACACCCGCTGCCGTGCTCCCCTCGGCGCTGACCGCCCTACTCAGGGCAGAGCTGGGGCCAACCCCGGGCCCTCTCTCACTCACCCTTTGCCCTCGGGGCTGAGGGAGGCCCCTCTCGCCGGGCGTCCGGGTGCCCGCCCCCTCCTGTCCCCTTGAGGCTTGGCGGTTCTGCTCTTCTGCTCTCCTTACTGGTCGAGACCTTTTCTTTCCTCCTGCGGTGGCTTGTGCTGGGGGGGACACAGATGCCCCGGAGCTGTCTGCCCCCACACCTCCCCCGCCCTCCCTCCGGGCCCTGCGGCCTCTTCCAGCGCCCTCCCGTGCCTCTGGGCAAAACGGAAACTTCTGGCTTTATTTTTGTAATTCCCATTTCTCGCCAAGGCGGTTTTGGTGAGCTGTGCTCTTAGAAGAAGCTGTCCGAGCAGTTGGTGCGCAGCTGTGTGTGGACCGTGTCTCTTCAGCGCCTGCCGCACCTGTGGACGCGGCTCTGCGTTCCGCCCATGCCTGCTTCTCTCCCCCCTCGTGTGACCGGTCTCGCTAGAAGGCTGTCAGTTCTTGAAAGACGTGGCTTATTTGTTCCAGACAGAGGGGAAGGGAGGGGGAGGGCGAGGGAGAGAAACGCCCACCAGTTGCCTCTCTCACGCCGCGACCCAGGGCCCTGGCCCGCAGCCCAGGCGTGCGCTCCGACCGGGACCTGGACTGGAGTCCCTTCAGTTGGCAGGACGCCGCCGCCCGGCCCGCTCTGGCCCACCCGCGAGCTTCTCAGTGTCTGCAGTCTCTCCTCCGCTCTGCCTGCTGGCCGAGCCGCTGCTCTCGTGCGTGCGTGTGTGTGCGTGTGCGTGCATGTTGCATCTGGAGAGTGCGTGCTCTGGGACATGCGGTGAATGCTGGAAGGCTCGTGTGAGGGCAGCGTGTCACCTCCGTCCTTTGCCGCCTCCTCACCTTCCCAGAGGCGCCGCTGCGGCCCGACCCCTGCAGACGGCCGGCTCTGCTCCGGGGGAAGGTGCTAAGGGCGCCCACACGTGCCAGTGAGGGAGCGGGGGCTCTCCCGGTGCCTGGTTCTGGGGGAGGCCTGCGCGTGCCGGTGGGGGGGGCGCTGCTTGTCTGTGGGGGCTGCTCTCCAGCGTCTGGGCCCTCGGGGGCCTCGCGCAGGTCGCCGCCGCCGCCACCACCGGGCCTCCATTTCGGTGGGTCCTGTCCCCCGCGGCCACACGGGCCCTTGTTCGGCCTCCCCGCGGCGACTCGGCCGCCTCCCAAGCCGAGGCCCTTCCTGCCCGCCAGGGTTGTCCCTCTCTCACTGCTGCTGCTGCTGCAGGTGTCGGAGGGTTGGCTGGGCTGGCTCCGCGCCAAGTGTTACCCTCCTTTCTTTTTCCCAACGTATTCTTTTTTAGTTTTTTAAATATATTTTATTGATTATGCTGTTACGGTTGTTCCATTTTTCCCCTTTTATTCCCCTCTGCCCTGTTTGCATCCCTCCACCCCCTCAGTTCACGTCCATGGTCGTACATGTAAGTTCTTCGGCTTCTCCATTTCCCACACTGCTCTTACCCTCCCCGTCTGTTTTCCACCTGCCATCTGTGCTACTGATTCTCTGTGCCTTTCCCCCTGTCTCCCCCTCCCCCGCTGATAACCCTCCGTGTGATCTCCATTTCTGTGATCCTCTTCCTGTGCTAGTTGTTTGCTTAGTTTATTTTTGTTTTTTTTGCTTCCGTTGTTGACAGTTGTGAGTTTGTTGTCATTTTACTGTTTGTATTTTTTATCTTTTTCTTAGATAAGTCCCTTTAACATTTCATATAATAAGGACTTAGTGATGATGCACTCCTTTAACTTGACCTTATCTGGGAAGCACTTTATCTGCCCTTCCATTCTACATGAAAGCTTTGCTGGACAGAGTAATCTTGGGTTAATTCCTTGCCTTTCATGACTTGAAATACTTCTTTCTAGTCCCTTATGGCCTGTAATGTTTCTTTTGAGAATTTAGCTGACAGTGTTATGAGAACTCCTTTGTAGGTAACTGTCTCCTTTTCTCTTGCTGCTTTTAAAATTCTCTTTTCTTTAATCTTGGGTAATGTAATTATGATATGCCTTGGTGTGTGCTTCCTTGGGTCCAACTTCTTTGGGACTCTCTGAGCTTCCTGGACTTCCTGGAAGTCTATTTCCTTTGCCAGATTGGGGAAGTTCTCCTTCATTATTTGTTCAAATAAGTTTTCAATTTCTTGCTCTTCCTCTTCTCCTTCTGGCACCCCTATGATTCGGATGTTGGAGCATTTAAAGTTGTTCTGGAGGTTCCTGAGCCTCTCCTCCTATTTTTGAATTCTTAATTTCTTCATTCTGCTCTGGTTGAATGCTTCTTTCTTCCTTCTGGTCCCACACCGTTGATTTGAGTCCCAGTTTCCTTCCTGTCACTGTTGGTTCCCTGTA